TGCCACTCTTCTTGGTCCTTATGTAAAATCAAGGTATGAACTTGGTTGACATGAGATATGCTGCAACATCAGCACATGTCTCAAGTAACATCACCCATGAATGATTATCACAGTGGTTTAAACGTGAAAACCATATTTGTTTCGTCACATGAACCTCTCAAATAATGCCATTTCATCACAGAACCTCAGGTAATAAATAAGACTGGCAACTTGTAACCTCAGGAAATGAACCGGCTGAAAACACTTGTTTGGGTATTTGGAAAGAGTTGACTACTGTTTAATTCTTGTGGCAAGCTTTATTATCTGTGAAATGTCTTGGTTGCAACATTTTACTTGCGAATGCCATGTGCGTAGTTTTTGTTCATATCTTCTCCATACCAACAAGAGAATCATGTAAATATGCAAATCTATACTTGTACAAAATAGAGGTGCCCCAAAGTGTACATTTTCAATTGGGATTTGAGGCTTAGGGGCACCCCTATGTTAAGACATCATCACTTGTACTACTATGTGCATATATGTACCACAAGTAAATTAATACTAGTGCATTCAGAATGTTATTTATTGAATTTGTCACTTCTGTAACCCATATACTCTAATTTGTGAACAAGTGCTAAGGCCAAATGATTACTTGTGGCATTGTTTTTCTTTTGTATGCATTTGCATGAGAATAGGATAGTTTTTGATTGCGATCATTTCTGGTGCAGTTTGAAAAGAATGAGAACAAATTGAACTCTGAATTGCTAATGTAGATTATGTTGGATTCTTGCGGGTATGTTCAAAAGGGAATTCAACTTAGTAACGTTTTTGAAATCTTCCCAAGATATCTCCAACATGTGTTTGCCTTTGGATTTCTTACATAAACAAAAAACACCTGTTAGCAAAAAGGCATGAAATCTTCAAAACAGCATAAGAACTGCATAAGGGTGTTTTCCTTTATTGTTCATCCCAAATTCAAAAGAAATTCATCAGAATTGCAAAAGAAAAACATAAGAAAATCACCGGAAAATCATGGAGCCTTGACTCGCGTCGAGGTTTCTTGTGAAGTTTATAAAATATAGATACGGGGATATCTCAAAATGAGGTGTCCATTTTTGCTCTTTAAAGTGATATTTTGGGGTCCAAAAAGGTCACCTCACCCTGAGACATACCTAAATTAAATTTAGGACAAAATCAGCAGACAGCAGACATTCATAGTATATACAACAGATATCCATGGCATATTCATGCTTAGCCTATTAGCCAAAAACAAGTTAAAACACCATTTCCAATTGTGTAGCAAAGTGGCAACACACAAGGCAACTTGCAATCATCAGAGATACATCATATCAGGTAAGGCGTGATTCAAAGTATCACTTAAAAGAAAGTAGTTCAAATACATCCCAGTGAAGGGAAACATGTGTTGAAGCTTACATTTTTCTCAAGTAACCAACTCAAGTAAGATACGCAAGTAATTTCCTAAAGTAAACATGTCATCAACAGCAGAATTCAAAGATTACATCCATGCCAGCTGAATAAACAACCTCTTGGGATTTCACAAGCTGATTGGTCAAAAATGGGCCCTTGCCCCTATGTGGCCAACATGGCAACCAACTCAAAAACAACAGCAATCAAAAACAAGGATAAATGGTCAGAAACATCCTTCCATATTTAAAAAAAATGTTTTAAGTTTGTTCCCCTCTTTTCCCACAATGGTTTATGCATATGTAACATGCATCAACAAAAGCATATGCATGATCAGAAGCAACTCACAGGTAGCGCGGTGAGTCACAAGAAGGAAGGTGGTAACACAGGTTCAAATTGTTGATAACTTAAGATGTAGTGTAGTGTTTCAAAAGAGGGAAACAAACCCCTAATCCTTTCTCACATGTTGTTCTCACAAGTAAACCCACTGGACAAACCTTAGGCTCATCAGCAATCGATACACAGATGCACATGCAACAAAAACCAGCAAAACAATGCAAGCCACATCAACACTGATACAAATTCCCCACCATACCCATTTGCGAAAGAAACAACGAAAACACATATGTTATCATTCTAACAGAAGCACGAAACATTAAGGAAATCAATTTAGGTAGGTGTAAGTAAATTTAGCTAAAATTAGAGCGTCATGAAATGCATTAGTAATTGTTTGCCCTAAATTAATCAAATTATCGTAATTTTAACTATAAGTAAAATTGTTGATTTCGGAGACTTCCATTAGTTTCTTATTTGTTTTAGATTTGAAGGGAGAAGTGATGAAGAATGCCTTCAGGTAAGAAAAAATATGTTTTTGTGAATACTATTACTAAAATCGAAACTTGAAAAAAAAACACCAACTCATACTTAATCATTGCCACAAATGGTCTGCAAATTGTCCCAAATTGCTCCAGATAGTGCCATCCACTGGCTCGAAAAAGGGACAAAAAAGGTCCCTGTCAGCCACACCATTTGGTGCTTTGATCTTTCTGAAAATGATTTGGCGTAAAATGATGTTCAAACCCTTTTTTTTTGAGTTTGAGTTTTTAAAATGCATTTTGTTTATTTTAAGTCTTTCCCATGCTGCCGCTGCCCCCAACTCTTATTTTGCCGAAATCCCCAACGGCATCAGTAATATGTGTTTATTGTTCTATGCATTCGGTTCCAATTCAGCACATTTTTTCCCATTTCTGTCTGAAGCGATATATAGCGCTTACACGCCACTGCCGCTCTTTAATGAAAATCAGCAGCAAAACTTGAGATCAAGGTCTATGCCCAAACTGTTTGAAACAAGTTCATCATACAAAACCAACTGTTTCAGACCCATGACTCGAACATTTATGGACAAAATGTTGGAAACCTGTGAATGTTCATACATATGTTTCACATGTGTACATATATGCGCTGGATTTATGTTTTGTGTATGAAATATGAACATTAAGTGATACAACATAAGTCGATTATGACATGGTTTACGTAAGTACATATGTCCGATCTAAGAAAATTTACCGTATATGTATGTGATACGTATGCGCTCTTCCCGTCCACAGCCTACAGAAACCATCGCCAAAGAGGTTTTGAATTTAGCTAAGTTATTAGCATTTTTTGCAATAAGATTTTATTTTAAACAAATAAGATCTTATTTCCTTTAAAAAAAAACACAAACAAACACATATTTTTGCATATGTGCGAACCTATATGTGCACATATGTACTACAATATGTAAATATATATATATATATGTATATTTGCACAGAGAGTTACATAAAACCCCGTTTTGAAAACATGTGACAAATCATATGCATATTCCATGTTTCACATAGGTTTCCAAGCATGCAAAGAAACGCAACATGTTGTGCAGGACAATGAAAACAAACGCCTATAAATGTACATGCATCAACAAAAACACAAATGTAATAAGATATTTTTTTCTTGAAATAAGATCTTGTTGATCTTAAAAATCACAAACGCAATATATGTATCACCTATGTAATAAGATCTTATGTTTCAGAAATAAGATCTTATTACATTGGTTATATACAGCACAAACAAAACATATAGTACACAAATGTAGTAAGAACTTATTGCTTAGAAAAAAAAGACTTATTACAGATGTGCATTTCTGAAGCAACATATATGTATGCGCACATACGCACCATGTCCTGAATTCGTGTCAAGTACTGTCACGCACATTTTATTTGATTGTAAAAAATTCTCCTGTTCAGTCGGCTCCAGTTTCAAATTTATGAGATTGCAAGCTGAAACGCAAACCAGAAGGCAGAGCGAGTCAACGCAACAGACAACCAGGAATGTGAACACTGGGATTCAGAGTGGTTCCTTGAGGTGTAGTTAAGTGGATTCAGCCATGCGTGCCTAAGTGTGCCTAAGTTTCTTCACCACCAATTTCCAGCATCAACAGTCACAAACAGGCATGTGCAACCACATGTGAAATCATATATGTAACCATTTATATCCAAATATGCCGCACATATGCAGCACATATGTTTCTTCGCGTTTCTTTGCGCAACTATATATGACAGGTTTGTGTTTTTTTTTCTGTAGTGAAAAGACTTCTGCAAGTATATGATATATATATATATATATATATGTGCATCAACATATGTTTATTATATGTTTATTATATGTTTGTCATATGTTTATTATATGTTTATTATATGTTTATTATATGTTTATTATGTTTATTATATGTTTATTATATGTTTATTATATGTTTATCATATGTTTATTATGTGATTAACATGTTTATTATGTGTTCATTTTGTGTTTAATATATGTTCATTATGTGTTTATTTTATGTTTATTATATGTTTATCAAATGTTCACTATATGTTTATTAAATACTTATTAAATGTTCACTATATGTTTATTATATGTTCACTATATGTTCATTATATGTTCATTATATGTTTTTTTATGTGGTTTTTATATGTATATATATGTGATATGTTTGCGTCTGCTCCGTACCAGCTCTCCAGAAACAAGCTCCACATAGCTTTTGGACTTAGTTAAGTCATAATTTAGCCAATGAATTTTGGATGAACATTTTGAATCACAGAAATCACAGCGTAAACGAAACATGCCCACAAGGTAAACACCATGGTTTAACCAGAATTACATCAGGGGATGTATTGAACAATTTACCATGGTTTCTCCTGATTTAATTCAGCAAAAAAAGCATTTGGTAAATCAATGAACATTTACAGGAATCTCTCGTTGACGAACAATTCACGAAGGATTTGTTGAACAACTCACTGAATTGAAGATTTTGGCCATGTGGACATTGATTTCACGAATCCGGACTATCATTCCACTGACATCCAGATCATATTTCATTCTATCATCGAATCACAATGAAATATTCCATGTTTGCTAGTTAAATGCCTTGATATTCTCATTTCTCATTATATGTCCCCTTAAAATTTCACTAAATCCGCAAAAACCATGATTAACCATTAATAACAGCATCAATTTCGAATTTCAGATTGATGCCTTTTTCGCTGTCGACTCCTCCAAGTCGCCTGCTCTGTGGGATGCCACCTCACCTCGATCACGTCTGCGATAACCGACAAAAATCAGTGATACCCGGCCTGGTTATGACTAACATAGCTATGGAAAATCCTTTATAAATGAAGGTTTTAATGGGAAAATCATCTTTGTATGGGCCATTTTCCATGGCTATGTTTAATAACCAGAGGGTAAATATACCAGCACAAGCACCATTTTTCATGGGGGTAAATGATGATAGTTTTAAATTATAGTAAAGTGATAACATACCTACACAAGTGATAATCAGTGATTTTTGGGGTACATTGTAAATGTGGATAAATATTCCATGGAGCACATACAAAAAATACCTCCAAAGAAGATGAAGCAGATTCCAAGTTTACATCGGTTACGCTGGGGGATCTGCTGCCAGTTATCAACCACACAGGTCAACTTTGGGCCATGCCAAGACCAGGAACTCATTTTACCAAAGGTGAAATCATCTTAACAATGTTGGATGTTTGTTTCGCATATTTCCACTGTTTGAGAGATATCTCAAAGCCTTTCTTGGGGGAGTGAACTATCATCTGGTTATTTAACAGTTCGCCATGGAAAATCATCATGCTATTAATAGGTAAACCATCTATTTCCATGGGCCATTTATACCATGGCTATGTTAATAACCAGAGGGTAAGTGAATCTATGTCACGATAATAGATACTATAACGGCCCCATATCCCAAGGCCATGTGCGTTGTGTTATTCCCATGGTTAATAACCATGAGTAACTATGGTCTCTTGTTAATTGATATACATAACCCTTAGTATTAAGCATGAACCATTACAAAAAAAACACACATGAACCATTAACCATTAACAACCATGAATACCAATTAATAACCATTAATACCAATTAATAAGCATGATGAACATGCATTAACCATTATTAAGCACACCTTGTCCCTGCCCTGCACCGTCCTTCTTCACGGTCCAAGGCACACACTGCACCTTGTCGGAATGGTGATCAAAGCTGTGAACACCTCGGTCCGACCAAATCTTCCGATTTTGGGTAGCTCGAAAAATTGCGCTAATCACCAGGCTATATATCATACAGACATATATGGGAATATATTAGTAATATATGATACTGTATATGTATAAGAGTAATATATATAAGTACTATATTACATTAATATAATAATAGTGGTATTAGTAATATATACGTAATATATTCTTGCTGGTTGGTGGTTTCAACCCCTCTGAAAAATATGAAAGTCAGATTGGATCATCATCCCAACTATTGGGGAAAATAAAAAATGATCCAAACCACCAACCAGATTGTATGTATATATATATATATATACAATAATATAATAGTGGTGTATATGTATATACATGTATGTATGTAATAGTAATAATGATATTCTACCCACTATCACCCGTTAGATGGGTATATGATAATGGTCATTGGGGCTATATATGTGTGTACATTTGATAATGGCAATTTAGGCTATGTATATATATATATATAATTATAGCTATATGATATGATAATATGATATATTATTATTAATTATTACTATTGCTGTTATCTATTACTATTACATACTATTACTATTATTATTATTAAGCCATATCATAATTATATATATAGCCATGATTTGTGGATTTTCACCAATTGTCATGGCTTCTTGGAGGATCCAGCAAGATTGAGCTTCTATTCTGTTTGAATCCTCATCTTGTGCCGATTTCGTGGTCGTTTCCATACGATGCGTAGCATTTCCACTAGGACAATGTCAGGATGTCCAACCCGCTCGCATAAAAATGTTCCAGCCTGATCTTTCCCATGAACTTGATCCATCAACTTTAAGAATACCAAGTTGTACAGTATGAGTTTCAAGCTGAGTCAACTAAAACACGTCCTTTTCCTGTCATTCACAGCAGATTTATTTTTGGAGATGTCCCGCCCAAAAAAGACAAGTTTGTTTTTTTTCTGGGATTTTCCATGAAATATTATAAATCAACCATCCAGCTATTCGGGTGCCCCCATGACTATGGAAAGCCCAAACAAAAAATCTCCGTATCCAAGGTGCAGGAGCCATCGGTCACGTCCCAAACCTTCAGGGTCTGATCTGCTGAGCCACTCGCCTTGGGAAATCTTTTTTGGCTTACCCGGCCTGGTAAACGTTTACAGTTTGCTATGGAAAATGGCACATTTCTAGTGAATTTTCCCATGAATAGCATAGTGATTCACCATTGATAGTGAATTTTCTCATGAATAGCATGGTGGATCTTTCCATAGCAAACTGTTGCTGTTTCCCAGAGGGTAATAATGGTTATAACTACTGAATATGATATCCCATAGAAGTTAATAATGGTTAGTATGGTTAAAATTAATATGGTTAACAATGGTTGAGAAAAAAAACGTCTGACTATGACATATCCCGGACCTTTTGATGAATTGGTAATTGGCCTTTGAGAAGCCTCTATTATTGTTTCAGTGGAAAATGACAGGGTACATCAGTGTATATGCTATAAGTGACAGAGTAGACACCATTGGCATTTGTTCTTGGATTTGATGAGAAATTCTTTAGGGATTTTTCGGGCGGATCGCAAGTTGGATTTCTTTTGGGAGCTTGACGCAAAACGAAAGTGGAGTTGGAACCAAGGTTGTCTGCGTATGACATGTGACTTCCGATATTAACCACCAAAGAAGATGCTATTAACATCTAACAACATGTACCCTCTGGTAAACTAACAGTTCGCTGTTGAAAATCACCATTTTTAGTGGATAATCAACTATTTCTATGGCCATTTTCAAGTTTGCAAACTGTTAGTCATTACCAGAGGGTACAACCAATGGGGATCTTGTTCTCAGCTCCGAAAATGTCTGAATGACGAGTTTCCTCACCTTGCCAAGACCAGGATCAAAGGTTGAGTATCTGCCGGAACAAGACGAGTCTGGTGGGTGGTTGAGCCACCTACCCCTCTGAAAAATGATGGAGTGAAAGTCAGTTGTGAAGGATTCTTCCCATATATTATGGAAAAATGAAATTCATGTTCCAAACCACCAACCAGCTAGTGTGTTCAGGGAAAATCATCTATGAAAAACAGAACAGTGCTTGAAACAGCCGCTCTGTTTTATGTAGTGCATCTAATGGCCATGGATTCTGAAGACACAATTCTCTGTTTGGTGGTTTTCGTTTTAACCCAGCCCAAAAAATATTAGACACCTCAAACAATCATCCCAAGTATAGTTGAAAAACACTAGGCTTGAACCTCCCCACAGTAGTGGACAAAGCCCTGAGCATTTCAGATCCCCCAACCACACACCACAACACACCACAGACAAGGGGCGAGAACTGAAGGGTTGGCGCTACTTCCATGCAAACCTTCGGCGGCAATGGCGACGGTAGTTTTGGGGAGGCCGCAACTCAGCATGCAAATGCATCTGTAGGGTTTGCATGTCACTTCTGATTTTCAAATGTACCAAACAGTCTCATGTAGTGTACAGCCATCTACAAAGTAAGCCTCAAATAGTGCATAAGTATGTATCGGGCTGCGAGATCTGTCTCCGCAAAGTTCCAAGACAACCAAGACGCAAACATAAAACTGAACCTCATATGAGCCATTCTAAAAACCTTCAGTCACTCACTATGTCGTATCATTTTGGGTATGCCAAAGCTTACGCTATGCTTATGCGCGTGGGTTCTTTCCTTACGCGGAGCAAATTGAGGAAGCCCTTACGCGAAGTCCTTACGCGGCCTTATGCAAGTGTGGGTTTTGTTTACGCCAAACACGTTATGACAAGGCCCTTACAAAAATATAAAGGTTTTTTTTAGATCAGCTCATGTGAAGACTGTGACATCATACCAGTATCATAACCATCCCCGTATGACATTTCTTTGACGTCTCCCCACATTGGAAAAGCTCAGCGAGGTCAGGATCTCTATGGTCAATAGTCAATACTGCAGTAATCTGTACATCCATCCCATGTCAAAAAAAATGAGACAATTAAGAACGAAATCAAAAACATGTGAGAAGATACTATTCATAGATTGATCTGATTGATCCATCTAAATTTCTAGTGATTACATATATATATATATATATTTATATGTTTCTGGTCAACCTTAGATACCACCCCAACCAAAAACATCATGTCTAGGCAAGGTTTCTCCGGCAAAAACTCGCCGGTGGATTCCGGTGGATCTCCAAGCAGCACAGAACGGGGCCATCGTGCGCCTTCACATCACCTGCACTGAGAAATCCACAGCCTACTGAGCCGACTACCCTCTGGTCAAAATAGCTATTGAAAATGGCCATTTATAGTGGATTTTCCCATTAAAAATGGTGATTTTCCATAGCTATGTTAAATTACCAGAGGGTAACTTGCGAAACCTCAACAAGGAACAATCATGAACAATCAAGTTTTTTTATCCTAGATGATTTCTTGTCGTTCATGTCATAGTCGAGGGTCAAGGTGAATTATCCCTCAACCCGTGGTCAATCTTTGGTAGTGCAAAAAAAAAACACATCTTTTGCTGGTTATAGTATGTTATAGTGATTTTCTATAAATATCAAACATCATCAAACAACATGTTGCATAAATAGCAATTAAAACATGCAGCATGAACCTCCCTAAGGCGGCTTGGCTTTAATCATTTGATCCCTGGAACTTCGCCGAAACGAAAGCGAACTGTGGCCTGAAGGCATCTTGGGTCGTCTCTTCTTCGTCTTGGCTTTAGGCTTCCTGGCATGTCCTTGGAGATCATCATCATCCGTCTACCAATGGTTGATATAGCGATATACCATTAAAAAAAAAGAAACCACCAGCCAGTCTAGAGATCATCATATATAATAATTATGTAATATTGTATTATATAATTATTTAGTTAGCATGTGCTTAATGCTCTTGAATTTGGAACCAACAACTTGAGAAGTTCATGATTTGCATCAAAATGTTTGTCACGACAGGTACAGTTTTGTTTCCTTTTTTTGAATCTGTGCAGAACCGTCATACTCGCATGTATGTGCAGAACTCCATGTGAAATATGTGTGGGAAAACACATGTTTGTTGATATCATGTCTTACTGTATTTATCCAACAAAAGGGTGACGCGGCGACATGCGTTTGTTTGCGCAAATATTCATAATGATTTAACAGTCCAATCAAACGACGTTTAGCGCGGAGGATTCCTTCACCTGAACCTTCACTCCGTTCAGTTCCGTGCTTCAAATTCACAGTCCCTCAACTTTCCCTCGGAAACACGCCTTTCCATGTCCCAATCCCAAATTTGCCCCCGAAAAGAACTCAAATATCCCGGGTCACAGACCTTCATAGATGCCCTTTTCCAGATGAAAAAAATGAGGGCTCCATACAGTGAGAATAACGAAAAACCAAAGCAACCCCTCTATTTTGCCCATCCCAAGAAATTCACCAAACCAGTCACCATCCCCACAGTTCACCAAGACACCCAGGACTTGCGCCGGTTCCAATGGATCGGCCTCTTCCAAGTTCCAGAGCTGAATGGAATGATCAATAGATCCAACGGCTGCATAGCACCCCTCGGTGCCACTGCTTTGCTTCATCCATTCCTTGTCCAAAAAAAAGCGACTCCCATGGGATCATCGGTGCGATGAAAAAAAATCCATGTCTGATATTCATAGAATTGGATTATGGGAAAAATTACAGTAAAGCCCTATATTTGATGGTAAAAACCATGGTTTCCTGTAGATTTTCCCTTAATCCAATCCAGTGAGATATAGATCCACATCATCTGATTGGTGGTTTCCACCATCTTGAAAAAATTGAAAGTCAGTTGGGAAGGATTATCAAATATATGGAAAATAAAACATGTTTGAAACCACCAACCAGTCATCTCTTTTGGGTTATGCTTCATATTCTTTATGATATACAGTACACACTGTTTGCATATCTTAACATGATTAAGCCAATTCTATGTAACAAATTACCAGAGGCTATATCCCATTATATTCCCAATGAACACTATGGATTTATTCATAATATACCTTCCAGTAATTTAACAGTTCGACCATGAGTCGGCGTTGGAAGATGATCAAGTCTACTAAAAGTTGGTGATTTTCAGGGTCCAGCTGTTACAATTTACTGGAGGCTATATCACCACGAAACACCATTGATCGTCATTAATCATCATTATTAAGCACTCTGAATCATTATATATCATCATTATTATTAGATATCATTAACTATCATCATTGATCATCATTAATACTATATGTAATCACTATATAATATATCATCATTATTATTATATGTAACTATATAACTATATATCATATCTTAATTTGCATATCCTTTCCTTTTTTCTTTGACATTCAAAAAGGTGGTCCCAGAAAATTCCACCAAAATCGGGAACCCGATCCCAGGCACCACGCAGAGAGGATAGGCTGCCAAACTGATGTCATGATGCACGTACATGTTCACCTGCAACACAACGACACAACATCAATACATGGGGAAAACCATGGGAATAACTCAACGCACAGTGAAATCACCAACACTGCCAACAAAAATGTTGGGGGCTAGAGCCCAAAAAAAAACATGGGGAGACGATCGAGATATAAGGAAGAACTATGAGAATTTCCTCAACAAACACTGGTGGTGGGACAAGCCACACGATTATCGGGCTGGCTGAGCATCAACAAATCGGATTTTAACATATTTTAGCTGGTTGGTGGTAAAATAACCCCCCTGAAAAATATGAGTCAAATGGGATTATTGTTCCCAATCTATGGAAACATAAAAAACAATCCAAACCACAAAAACCAGTTCGGGAATAACATATCATGGTCAAGGAGTCAAGGAATGTTGAGCTGAGATGATCAAGACATATCTTCATCATTATGCAAAAATTCTGCTCATTGACTCCTCCATAGCCCTATTTTCAAGTCAACCATCCTACGAAGGTTGGCCCAGAAATGGCTCCAACGCCTTTCTTTCCCTTGTCCGTGGCAGCACTGGTGACATGATAACTTTAGCATCGCCGTCCTGCAGTGGATGGTATCTCTATGGTGCCAGGTGATACCCTCTGGTCAACTAACGTAACTATGGAAAGATCCACCATTTTGAATGGGAAAATCCACTATTTCTATGGCCATTTTCCATGTCGCTTTTTGTATGTTTACCAGGCCGGGTATTCCCAAGTTACCCTCCTGTAAACGTTTAGATCATTTTCCTAGGGAAACCATAGGTTGGTTTTCCACATGTAACGGGCAGGTGATTTCGGTGGTGTTTTTTAAGGGTCTCCGAAAAAAAGGTGATCTGGTAACACCGCAAGCATACTCCGAAAAAATTGAATGACGATTACAAGTTCAGTTCAGATTGAAAGAGAAAAACAGCATACAACATGGTTACATGCTTTGTAATTTTCTGGAGTAACCCCGGAACAAAAATTAGGAAAACCTGGAAGGAAGTGGTCAATATAAGCAAACGAATCAGCTCTTACAAGCAGCCAGGTACTTAAGGGTGTCCCAGTGCGCCGCGGCTTTCGCCTCATCTTCTTCGAAGACGTAAAGCTCCAAGGTGCAACAGTCTTCCTCACCTTGAAAAATGGTGGTCAGGATCAAGTTCTATGGGATGAGAAAGGGGGATTTATCCAACAACAATGGGAATACATAACGGGATATACGTTTATCAAATATGATAAACGTATATAACGTATATATTATTATATATGTGGTATGATCATCCATCCAATAGTGAAAATGCTTACAATGACTATACGAATTCCTAGGAGTGGAATAAGATAAGGACCAGCATCCAATGGGCAATGTACACTAGTTCTAACCATGGCACACATGGCTTTGTCTAAGAATGGGGTTTCAACCAACAAAACTGGGGGGATCTCTACCAGTCTTTACCAGTCATTTTATGAATCTGTAATGGGATATGTAACGTTCTGAATTTGTCTGAAACTATGGTATACCCATCAACTAGCAATTCTCATGTGGACACTGATGATTATCTGATCAACCCGTGTTTTTTTTGGGGGGTAACCAATTTTCAGACAAACCCAAACTGCAATTTGGGAGATGACTAACTGTTTCTGATGGCTGGTTTCACACCACCAATCAGGTTTCTGCAGGTTTGTCCGATTTTTCGGATCTCCTGTTAGTGGTTTGAACATGTTTTAAGGTCATTATTTGGTGCAACCTTTGGGGTATTCCTGTTGGACTCACCATCCACATGTCGATGATCTCCCCAGTGGATAGTTCATGCAAGTAATCAACTAGTATTGAAGGAACCATTCAGTCGTTTCACCGGGATATTAGTTTCACCATTTTTCTTTATCCAACAATGTGATATTGTAGTCCCGTATGTCTATCCTACATTAATAAACCTTGGTTTTCCAAGGATAGGCGATAACCCCAAAAAGTGATGATCTGCCATTAGAATGGCACCCACCAATCACCAAGAGGGTCTCACATTCATCGGGGGTTGTCCAGAACTATCCCATCCCATGTTGTTTGATAATGCTTGATTTACCTATAACATACATAATGCTATATTTGGATTATTGTCAAATTCACAAATCATAAGCATCTAATATCAGTTTATACAAATTATATATCTATCGCAATATATCATTATATATCATATAGGATTTCCATCATTTTCCATCATATGGCAATGTGTCAAAACCTTGTACCCCTGGTGAACCCCCAGATAGCTGGGATTTATGGATGTTCATCCCACTAAAAATGGTATTAATAGGTATTGATCCATACCCATATATATATAGAATAATATCCCCATATATAGCATACATGGATCCTATGGGTTATATATCATACAGGATTTCCATCATTTTCCATCATATTCCCATGATATGTTCCCCTTCTCCCCAGTTTCCCCAGCTCGTCACAGGAGGCAGCAACGAAGACGTGGTCCTCCGGCCGAATCTCCACGTCGCCCTCCGAGTCCGAATCCTCGAAGAATGAAAAAGACGAAAAACCCATGGGTTTTTTGAGCCTCGGAAAAACCCACTTTATAGTGATTCAATGTGATATGAATGGGATATGAATGGGATATTAATGGGATATTAATGGGATATTAATGGGATATACCCTCGGAAAATGGTCATTTCCATGATTTTTGTAGGAAGTTAACATAAGTTAACTGGTTGGTGGTTGACCTACCCCTCTGAAAAATGATGGAGTGAAAGTCAGTTAGGATGACGACATTCCCAATAATTATATGGAAAAACACATGTTCCAAACCACCAACCAGTTCATATACACATGGATCAATGACATATTTCATGACATCATTCATGGGATCTCCATTTAATAACCCCATGGATATTCTGGATATCACATCATTTCCCACAATGTGAGGCCCCCCAGTTATAAGTTGGTTTAGATTCGCCCCAGTAACTAGTTCGTTATATAAGTACCACAAACCATAGTGAAATTGGAGTTATGTTCACCAACTGAACGCTATCGAACGGGGGCCTCACATTTCCCAGCATAAAATGGACCAACAAAAAGTGGGCATCCAAGCGATCCAAGATGCCGAATTGGGATCTCCGGTCATATGTGGATCGCGTTCCCGCGCCAACTCGCCATCCGCGTTCAGCACCGAAAAAAACTGCATGCCTCACAGAGGTCGAAAACCACTGGCGCTATCAATGGAAAATCCCCTACTTAAATGGCATTCATATAGATGGGATGTTATGGAATATCCCTTATAAATGCATGTTCATATATGGACTTATATGAAATATGACCTATCAATGGTATATATTAATATGGTTTATAGCTGTTTTGTTTAATAGATTTATCCCCATGAATTCCACAATATGGAGGTTTCGTTAAAAAGAGGGACTTGGTATTGAAACAACCATGGTGACTTGGGGATCGCCCATGACTTAAGAAACCCCTATATCCATGATACCCGGCCTGGTAAACGAACAAACAACTATTGACATGGTGATTTAAAAAAAATGTGGATTTACCTATTGAAAATGGTGGATCTTTCCAGTTCGTTATGTGGCTGTTTACCAGGCCGGGTATTCATTATAGATGATGTGTATATAGATGATAGTTGCCATGATTTTCTGATGATTTTCCCAAGATCATGATAGGATAGGCCCCGAAGAGAAAGAGACACATTTCCAGGATGGCATATTAACATAGATGATGTGGATGGTATATAGATGATGTGTTGCCCCAAATTTCCAGGTGTCCGACTTTTCCTGTTCTTTGGCAAGCAGAGGTTCTGAATGTCAATTTAATGAACCATAAATTGGGGATGATTGTATTATAGTCATTCCATAATGTTCTACAAATTCTCCGCGAATTATCCCATATCGAAAAGGGCAGGTCACATCATTCTCCCAAGTTTTTTTTCTTATGTCTTGTGTTCCTATCATTATCCTATCATTATCTATGTTTGTTTTCCTATTGTTCCCATGATTTTCCCGTCATTTCTCATCATCATCATCATCATCATCATCATCATCACATCATGATCATCATGATCATCATGATCAGCACATTAAAATTTGCCACCCCCTATGAACAATATGTTGATTGGGGTAATAATAATCATCCCAGTGAGGTGCCTTCGTCATCCTCATCGTCGTAGTTCTCCATGTTGAACTCCTGGGCGCAAAATCTTCAGCTCCCGAAGCGTTTCAACTTTCTCTTGACCCCAGTCGTAGATGGTTTCGGCATGTTTATAGTTATTTTAAATTCTGTGCTAATATTATATATATAGAATATATATATATATACTATATATAATGTATGTTTGTGCAATGGTCAAAACTATGGCGATTTTATGGACCACGGTCATCCCAGGAATCCTTTTTTCAAGGGATGTTCCAGGGATGACCAACGAAGATGTGTTGGTCAAAAACGAAGAAACACCCTGCAACTCATGATGCTTAGATGCTTGATGATGCTGGCGAATGATGTTTGGAATATCTTGGCTAAGATACCCTGCAAAAAAAATAGTTGGTTAGCAGATAATCCCATTGATACCAAAAGACTGAAGGATTGGTTTCTACCCATCCAAGATTGACCGAGAACTTAAGACATCCACAAACACCAGCATATGTTTTTTTTCCAGAAAATGATGAAACCTTTTTTTTTTAACACAAATCCAGAGTTTTCCAACAGTTTACAATGTTCGTTTGAAAAATATCCCAAACCAATTCAATTGCATCAAATTACCAAGTTCCACGATTTTTTCACCAAATTTCCGAGCCCCCACATCCATGGAAACATTACAATGTTGAATAGGTAAATTATCGAAGTAAATGAACCATTTTCATAGCAGTTTTGTTTACCCGGAAGGTATGTCAATGATCCATTCTTCATAGTGATGTCCATACATTTTCACCCAGGGTAAGCTAACATGGAAGTGCAAAAATCCACTATTTTTTCTAGTTTGTAGCGTGTTTTCCTAAGGAAACCGCGAGTTTTCCACATGTTCTGTATCTGGCTGGTGGTTTCAACCCCTCTGAAAAATATGAGTTCGTCAATGGGAAGGATGACATCCCATAATAAAAGTCATGTTCCAAACCACCAACCAGTGAATCTCTCCAAAAACTTGGGTTTCAATATGTTTCAATATGTTTCAATACGTTTTACCCTCAGGTAATTCACACGGAGTGCTGTACAATCTCCCATTTGCTTCGATAATCTTTGCCACAGTTTCCATTTTTTTCAAAGTTTAACATAGTTTAACATGTTTCTATGATCGTCCCTGGGGATTTTCGATGAACCCATTAAACTAATATGTATATTTCTATATATTTCTAGATATTTCTAGATATTTCTATATATTTCTATATATTTCTATGGTTTTGAATCATACTTGCTATAGTTTCCCCCAAAAAATTGCTATATAGTAAACCATCCAATAGTTTCTAAACCATACTGTTTGGTATATTTCTATAGTTTCTATATATTTAAACCTGTTTGGTTAAACCATCCAAAGCTGGTACCCTCCAGGCACTCCTCCAAGCCAACCACTGCCCCGGCACTGGAGGAAGCCAAATCTCCAGCGGCTTCCCGCATGGCTTCATCGTCCTCGCCCTCCTGAACCATGTAGGGATCAAGTCATGGAGCCAAGCATTTGATGAGTTCATGTATGGAAAATGTATGGATAATGTATAATGTATGGATAATGTATGTATAATGTATGGAAATCATTTATAATTTAACTATCATAACCTGCGAAATCCAACAAGTTTCTTAATCATCCATTATATATTATATATTCTGCGTTTCCATAGATGCCCAACATGAATTGTCCAAACCAGTACAGGTCATATTTGGTGGTTAAGTCTCCCAATGATTGCGGAGCTCATTTCTCTAGTTGTGGACCCCAAATGGCAATTTCATCCCTTCCCACATCATGGCGAATGTTAGATACCAGCCACCAAATCTAATTTTTGGCTGGTGAATGTACACTTACCGATAGCAAACGATTCAAGTACCTAACCTATTGCTAACAATTCTAATGTCTGGCTGACCAGAAATAGTACTAACCCAAACATGTCTAGTAAAGACTGGTTAGTACCATTCCAACCAACGTTGACCACCTTGGAACGTCCGGCGCCCCTGAGAACCACGTCCTGCGCCCCATCCAAACGCCCAGTGCAAACGCCCCGCGGCAGCCATGCCACGCAGGTTACAGCCGTCTTCTCCATTCGAACGAACCGGGTTTTTTCCCTGTGGAGAACGCTGCAAAAAATGGTGAGAACCTTGGAAATTCTGATGATTTCATATGATTTCATATGATTCTGGTTGGTGGTGACTTAACCATCTTGAAAAATATGAAAGTCAATGGGAAGGATTATCCCAATTTATCCCATATATTATGGAAAATAAAAGCCATGTTCCAAACCACCGACCAGGACTTGAATATGATTTCCTGAACCGAACATGCTGATTTTTGAGTTGTAACACGAAAACCTGTTGTGGACAATCGGTGCATTCCAGAACGAACTTAGGATTTTCAGGGCATCTTGCAGGAACCCCGGATATCATACCGTATCTAAAGTGATCCAGTACCGCTCAAAGTTGTTGCTTTGCTTCATCATCTGTGCAAGATTAGTTACAAACAGCATCATGATAGCCAAAATATACGCGTTCAACAACAAACAAATTGGAATGATCTGCAAATATTGACATCCATTGAACGAAAGAATCAAAAGTATCTCCAAAATCTTAATCACATACAAATGTACATATATATATATTATATATATTATATTATATATATATTATATATATATATATATATCCAAACAAAACACCTGGGAAACTATTTGTTTTCTGCTCCAAAAGTGGGTGGCATCAGATCGCATCCATGTCCGTTTGACAGCGTGCCGTAGGTGACTGCGAGCCAACCAGCGGATGTGGCGGCGAAGTAGATGCGCAAATTTCATGATGTATCCAACGATGTATTACCCTCTGGTAATTTAACATAGCTATTGAAAATGACCATAGAAATAGTGGATTTACCCATTAAAAATGGTGATTTTCCATAGCTATGTTAGTTTACCAGAGGGTAGATATAAATATGATATGTCTATACACCATCTGTCACCATGTGTATGCTATATCTACAGTTGTCTACATATTCTATGGATTACATAATTATATACACATGAAAAGAAGTGATAAATTGGCAGTACCATGCTTCAGTAGATACAATGTCCCGGCATGGCCCGGAGTCAGATCAATGCCATTTCATTTCAGATTCCGCTCCATAACCATGTTCAAGTGTCAAGATTCAATACTCATCTGGAGCAAACACGTGGTCTCAAACCATGTATATATATATATACACATATTAGTACATTACATAATGTATATATATATATATATACACGGGGTTTATGGCGTGTCTACAATCATATCTATATATATATATATATCCACTGGATCACCAACAAAATTAAGGCATGGGTCAATGTTTTTAGGTCCACAAAACACGATGGTTATGTCCTTTTTACTGCTAGTATGACCAAACCTGTGCAATCAAGACGATTTTTTGTTTGTCCATACTCATATCCTGTTTGTGGGTTTAATCTATGGTTGAATCTTATATTCATGTGCTAAAATAAATTCCTGCCTTCACGGACTTTCATATTTGAAGCATAGGTCAAAACTGCATTCTATGTGGACCCTATTTGTTGGTCAAAAATCCATATAGTCGTGTATACACGGATGTTTCTTAAAATGGAGGATCCAGATCACTATGGTTGTTTCAATACTAAGTCATGGTCATTTCTAACTTGGATGATGCGAGGGGTACCTCCATGACTCGGGAAAACTCCATCTATCATTTAACATATAATTATCATCAACTGTTAACATCAACCATCATTAACTATCATTGACTATCATATGTCTATTAATTTATCAATATACATATATATATAAATACAGCATATCATATATATATATATATACATTATACATACTTTCTGCCTTTTGGAGACCTGAAATCTCCCGGCTCACCCCCCTTTTTGCTCCTCCCCGCGCCTCCCGTAGCTCCTCCTGATGCTGCAGCAGTTGCTCAGCAGTCAGCTGGAGGTTTCCGGTGGACGCCTCAACGGTCCAGCGGTCCATCACTGGGGGTATCCAACCAAGCGTGGGATATCATGGGATACCAATTATAATGGAATTCACTAGCAATGGGATATGGTGGGCTATATATATATAAATATCTTATATGTATGTATTTATTATGTATATATATAATATAATATATAATATAATATAAATATATAATATATAATATAATAATATATATATATATATTATATTTAAAGATAAATGGTGATATCTGCATGGGGATAATTATAGAGAAAATCGGGGATTTTAGGCCAATTGTACTGGGATGGATTAGCAATAGATTGGGATTTGTTCAGCAATATAGGGAGCCGGGCACTTTTGCATCTCCTGGATGTCCCTCATGCTCAGCTCGTTCCGCTAGTCCGTCCATTTCATGTTGGTTGCTTTGTGTGCCCTGTCACAACATCTCTCGCACCAAGGCGACCACACATCATCACGTTTGTGGCCAGCGCCTTTCACCAGGAACACTGGAAGTGAGCAGACCAACTCGCCCAGCAGAAATTCATGCATAGGCTTGGCTCCGGTATTCCCTCAGCAAAATTGCAGGAGCATAGGCAAGGCATAACAGGGTCTGACAATGTTGGGCAGGTTTCACACGCAGAAACATGGAGATTTGTCAATATCTTTCAAACATGTGAGCAACATTGCTTGTGATATACCGGGATATAATGGCATACATATAACTGCCTTTGCCACTTCGTAATCCAATCACTATGTATATATATATATATGTATATATATGGGACCCCATATATGGTGTTAAGATGGGATATGATATAATATGATATAATATGATATAATGCGATATTTGCCACTATGATATCTCCAACGATTTTATGGGATACAATGGGATATCACCCCATGTCACCATGTGCATATTAGACCAGCACAACATTGGGGTCTAACCAGCAAAAAGTGATATGTTATAAACTAACCAGAATTATTGGGGATGTATTGGATATATAGAAAGATATCTTACCAGCACAAGCTGTGGATAACCAATCGATCCTGCCAGTGGGTAAATCATGCGCGACGACACAAAAATCTGGATGTGTTCTAATGTTTACCAACTATTTGATACACGACTAAGATTCGAACAACCAAGATTATACCGTAGCTACAGGGAGGATCCCCAAATACTAGGTAAATTGGTTTTATCTCACCAGGCTAACGATCGGATTGGACTGGATATATCTATAATTACATGGGGTTACAAACCCATTTGAATTGGGAACCTCCTCTTCTGTAGGATGCACAACTTTGTTTTCCTCATTTACGCTTCCTTAAAAAAAAGTATATGTATCAAAAAATAGACATCTTCCCGAAACACCGATCCACCCAAAGACAGAACTCTACTGTGACTGATGCTTTGGAAGAAAAACAAAAACACTCGCCCTTTAAAAGTATCCAAGTGAAATATACCCCCAAACATGAACAAGGGGTGCGGTGGGCTTCCTCCTATAGTTCCAATTCCAAGACTTTCTGGAGGAAACACTTGTAGTTCCCCCCCAAATCAGATGCAGAAAAGCTTCAATTTACCACTACAGTACCCCCCCCCAAAAAAAATAGAATAAACAATCTAAGTCAAATGTGCGGCAGCATTTTCCCTCTGTTTTTTGGAGGTTTCTACATCTCGTGGCTCAAGGTCCCCAAGGCCACCATGGCCGTCCCGCAACGGTACCTGCAAGCGTCTCAACTTGCCAGTGACCAGGCCCAACACGACCTTAGCTCCGAAGCCCGTAGGGCCTGTTGTTCGAACGCCGTTGAAGTGGAAATGATTAATGTAATGGTCATATCAAATACTAAATATAATCGGTATTAATCTTAGTAATAATCTTGTAATCAGATACTAAATATATGTATAGATATATAAATATATGGGTAAATATGTTAAATTAAGATATAGACATAGACATAGCAACTCATATCAACTCATGTTTTTTTTTGCGCAGCCCACTTGCCAACCAGGGCTTTCTCAACGGATTGGTTTCTTGGGCAAAATCTGAAACCATGGCGTTTCACCAGGAAAATTCGGGATGAAGTGGCCATGTGTGGCTCATGGATCCCAGAGGACTGGCTTTTTGCTGCACCAAAGGATTTGATCAGTCTACCGGCTGCTGAAGTTTTTTTTCCTGATGTCTTTGTTAAACACTTGGAATAGTTCTCCCAAATGGAGCGAATTTGGAAACGCATGTCTCTTGGGTGATATGGTTTTCCCCTGTTTCTTCATTTTTGAAATAGTGATTCACTCCTTCCCCTCTGCTAAACATACAAAAAGCTATTGAAAATGGCCCAGTCGAAATAGTGGATTTACAAATTAAACATGGTGGATCTTTCCATATAAATCACCATGTCCCAATGGTTTTCCCATGGTTTTCCCATTAATAGCATGGTGGATCTTTCCAGTTCGTTTTTTGTGTATGTTTACCAGGCCGGGTACCTTAGGTTGGAGAAAACGATGCCAAAAAACAGCACTGAGTTTAATCCAGTTCTCTCCGAAGCGTTTTTCTGTCCATTTTTGGGATGACCTGGATGACCATATCACCGGGGTTGATTTGTGAAACTACAAGGGTTTTACCCTCTGGTAAACTAACATAACTATGGAAAATCACAATTTTTAATGGGAAAATCCACTATAAATGGCCATTTTCAATAGCTATGTTAAATTACCAGAGGGTAACTGCTTGGTGGTGACTTAACAATCTTGAAAAATGATGGAGTGAAAGTCAATGGGAAGGATTAATTATCCCATATATGAAATGGAAAATAAAAGCCATGTTTGAAACTACCAACCAGTTAATCTCTCCAAAAACTTGGGTTTCAATATGTTTCAATACGTTTTACCCTCAGGTAATTCACACGGAGTGCTGTACAATCGCCCATTTGCTTCGATAATCTTTGCCACAGTTTCCATTTTTTTAACATGTTTCTATGATCGTCCCTGGGGATTTTCGATGAACCCATTGAACTAATAGGTATATTTCTATATATTTCTATACATTTCTATATATTTCTATGGTTTTGAATCATACTTGCTATAGTTTCCCCAAAAAAATTGCGGCGTCCCGCCGGGACACGGC